TGTGTATCTAGGCACAGAAACACAAGTCAAATCGCAGAAAGTTCTAAGCTTCCTTTAGAAAAGGAAGAGCTGAAGAGGAAGAGCTGAGAAAAAGGTTTTATGTATACGTCTTAAAGTCGTACATATACATGACAAATTAGGGTTTAATCTTTTAAATTAGTTAGAAGAATCTCGAATTTAATGACATAATTATTGGTTTCCGAAACTTACGAGATTTGTCAAGTTTACCATATGCACCCACTAGAATTCGAATATTTCATAACTAATTCAAATTTCTGAAGGTCTTACGAGATTTGTCAAGTTTAACCATTACAACAAAAAATTAGGAAAATATTGGTAATATACCATTACCAAATTGTACCAACAAAACTTATTAGTAGCCAAACAATTTGATACCAAGTATATTTGGTATTGTATTGGTAACAAAAAAATTTATATCAAATATAATTGGTACGATACACGGTATGAATAAAAATAAACATAACTACATAAAAAAAGTGTAATTATTTTTTGTATAAATAAAAAAAACATTATATATCTCTATATTATGATTATTACAAGCATAGACTATATAATTTGTGAAGCTTGAATTCTACATATTTTATATAAGAAATCAAATATGAAATATCTTTTAATTTTTGTTCTTATTAATATTCTTAGTGTCAAAATAAAAAAATAAGACTTAAATGCAAAAATGGTCCCTGTGGTATGCAATTTTTTGGGGTTTTGGTCCAAACCACGAGTTTTTTGGTTTCGTGGTCCTTTTGGACTGGTTTGTTTGTAAAAATGGTCCCTGTACTTAACTCCCGTTAAAAGGAATCCATTAACCCCCTCATGTGCCTTCCACGTGAGGGTATTTCGGTCTTTTTACTTCTAGGGACCATTTTCACATACGGAAAAATAAATCCTTCTTTATATATCATTTCTATTCCCAGCTTCTTCTCCAACGAATCTTCTTCCACAACGTTCTTAACTGTTCTTCCCCAACGACTATTTTCTTCCATTTCTCCTTCCTGACCTACAATCGAACAATGGTGGTTTGTTTTTGTGGAAAGCTCGCTTTGGTGAAAACGTCTTGGATACCACTGAATCCCGGAAGGAGGTTTTATGCTTGCCCTACTAAGGATTCTGTTTGTGGGTTTATCGGGTGGGTTGACCCGCCTATGTGTGCTAGGAGTAAAACCATCATACCTGGTCTTCTAAGAAACATAAATATGTTGGAGGAAAGATGTAATGGGCTGGTACGAAGTATCAACATATTAAAGGAACAGTGCAATGGACTTTTGAGCAGGAACCACATGTTGGAGGCAAGGTGTGATGCATTGAAGGATGAAGGTTTCAAGCTGAAGATGTATTTATGTGCAAGCTGGTTTATGTTTGTGATTGTTATCTTTAGTATTTGGTCTATGTAAGGGATAGGGTTAGACAAATGTGGGGGTTTTTGTTGATCAAGTTGACGCAGGGTAAAAATGGTATAATTTTGTTATAAGTTGACTTCATCATGTTTGTAATGAATTCCAATGTTGTTAATGATATGAATGATATTCAAGTGTGAAAATGTGTTAAAAATGTGTATCAATTGTCAAATATAAGCACATAAATAGAACAAAAATGTAACAAAAGTACATTACCAAAATACTTGTCATAAATTGACCAAAAAGCACATTTCATTAACCGCATGAGTGGAACCAAAAACCATTACCAAATTAAGCATACAAGTGTCTGTGCATCATACATAAACACATCATAAAACCATAACTAAAGTTAAAAAAAATAGTTTTTAACAACAAGCAACTAAATAATCATTGCACCACAACAAACAACCAAAATCACTTCTTGGATTGATTCCCACCTTGCCCTTTACAGGTCCTAGAGTTGTGTCCCTTATTCTTGCATTTGCTACAAGTAACATTGATATGTTTCCTTGATAGCTTCTGCACTCCATCATTTGTTGGCCCTTGGGAATCTTCTGCTTGCATCTCATTGACTCCATCACCTTGACATGTCTTCTGCCTTTTGCTTAACCTTTCACCCTCACTTTGTCTTCTTTTTTTCTTAGGCCTTCCCACCTGAGTGCGATGTGGATGAGGGATTAGCTTTGTTGGACAATTACTTTTAGGCCACGTGGGTCTCTCTTTAATTGGTTCCACCTTAAATGAATAAGCTTTTTGCCATGTCTGTAGCCAATACACCTTGTGTACCCACTTGTAAATGTCAAGCTCAGCCTCAGGGTCTTTGCTCATTTCATTCAGAGTTGCAATTGCATGCCTGCAAGGTATTCCCATTAATTCCCACTTTCTGCAAGTGCAGGTTTGGTTCCTAACATCCACCACATGCTGATCTTGCAATGCTCCAGTGACTTGATACTTGTTTGCCCCACTCCACCTAGCAATGTATTGTGAAGCACTTTTTTTCCTTGCATCTAGGATGTCTGTTGCTGTAGGTGTTAGTGGACCTTTAGCCTTATTCATTGCCTTCATGACATTGGATATCCTCTTCATTAGATACTCCCTAATGAACTCTAAACATGAAATTACAGGTTTGTCCCTGCCTTTCTCTATCTTCCCATTAAACACTTCACACATGTTTGAAATCAACACATCAGAAACAGCTCTTCCTGCACATTACAATAACATACAATTAATGCTGATAAATAAATGAAACACATAATCATTACCATATGCAAACATATATAATTACCTGAGAAATGACTCCTTGCCCAATGTACAGGAGGAATATGCTTCAACCATTGACATGCCTCCTTATCATACTCACTAAACTCCTTCATCAAATGCTCAAACTCAGGAATGGTGGTTGCTGATGCATATGTACTGACCCTTTAATTCTTTTTTACATTTAAACTTTTGTCATTTTTTTAAAGAATAGATTCCTTCTTGTTTAAAGAATAGATTCCTTCTTGTTTCTAGTGCATGCACATCAATTAACTCCTTTAAATCTTTTTTACTTTTAAACTTTTGTCCCATTGAGAATGACTGTATATGTACTGACCCAAGGTTGCACCTTTTTTTCTTTTCCCAAATTTTTTATAAGAGCTCTTCTTTCTATGTCTTGGTCTGATCCTTCATCCAATGATTCGAACTCCTCATTGTTGATCACTTCCATATCTTCAGGTTCATGACCATCATTAATACATGCTCCTTCAACATCACTTTCAACATTTAGACAGAAGTCTGCCATGTCCACATCAACATCTTCTATATTGTTCTCCTCATCTAATATGTCATCCACTTTATCCTCATTTTCTAATTGTTTCCCATCCTGATCATCACCTTCATCCTTTTCATACTCTTCATCACTCTCTTCAGATTCATCATCCCCTTCATACTCTTCAACATCCTCATCACTTCCAATTAAATTTTCCATAAGGTTATCAAAAAGCTCATTATATTGTTCATCATCATTAACAGGTGGGGTGTTGTAGCATCCTTCAATATGGTCATTATCCTGAACCCCAATCATCTCATCCCCTACATTAGCAATATTTGAAGTAAATGGCTTGTAGCATCCTTTAACAACAGTTGCAGCCTCCTGAACCTCCTTAACACTCTTATTAGTGTTTTCCTTCTCTTTTAAATGATCAGTATCCTCTAAATTAAGCCTCTTGCTACAAGAACCTTCCCCCTCTTTTTGAATTCCCAACTCTATCCCTTCTATACTCTGGTGAGAATGCATCACTTTTACCTTAAAAAAGAATCAAAGACATGTACTCACCAATTGGCTCATCATTGACATGGTTCATATTTCTCAATGGAGATTCTACATGAACTTCAGCCTCAACTTCATCCCCTTGATCATCATTTTCTGGTAATTCCTCAATGACAACTTTACCCTTAGCATTTGGAGACATGAAGTAAGTGAGTAGATTTGTCTTCCTATGTTCTGTGTACACCTCAATCAACTTATTATTTTGAATAAATTTAGAAAGATTAATAACATCCTGATCATTCCCTATATCACTGGGGATTCATCAGTCAATTCAATCATCCGTGGGTCTGGGTAACCTAGGTCAAGCATTATGGCATCAAGTTCATGTACAGAAAACTCATCTATGTCCACATAATCAACATAACGCACTTCACCTCCAATATACTTTATATCAGGTAGCTTAGTAAACTTCCCACCGTGATGAAGCTTAATACTAAACCATGTGGGTGCACCCGCTACAAGTCAAAATTGTACAAGATAACAAAGTCAAAATTTTGTATAAATCAAGGGGATAATGCAAAGTAGGAAAGTTAAAGAAACAGAGCAACTTACCATATACGGATGATACGTCCATAACTTCATTTTTTGGTCTTATCTGCCACATTACGTACACCATTTCGACTTTAACGTGTGACCTTGTCTCCTTTTGCTTCAATTAGGTTATTTGGATAACGAATGAGGTTTTTTTTTGCAGGTTTAATGGAGCAGAAGGAAGAAGGAGGGAGGTGGGGAGTTGACGGGTGTTTGGGAATATAAATGAGGGATAAAAGGTAAAAGGAAGCGTTGACATTCTTATGCGAAAATGGTCACTAGAAGTAAAAAGACCGAAATACCCTCACGTGGAAGGCACAAGAGGGGGTTAACGGATTCCTTTTAACGGGAGTTAAGTACAGGGACCATTTTTACAAACAAACCAGTCCAAAAGGACCACGAAACCAAAAAAATCGTGGTTTGGACCAAAACCCAAAAAAATCATACCATAGGGACTATTTTTGCAATTTTGTCAAAAAATAATAATAAATTAATGAATTCTACGTATCATTATTTTATAGAAATAAAATATAAAAAATACAGAAACATATTTAGTTTTTCATTGCCCTTCACTTTCACTTTGGGTAATCGTGTATAACTGTATATGATACAAGATTGTTTTTAGAAAGAAAGAATAGTTCATATTGCCGACACGTGCCAGACAGTCAGTTTGGCAAAGTCAGCACAAGCACACATGTCATTCCCTTAACATTTCACTGCCTTCATATACATCAGATCGAACAGAACCACCTGAAAATCGACTCTAGATCACCAAATCGGAAAACAATTGTTGCTCCGATATGATGGCTTCAAGCGATAAAGCTCCCGACGTGATGCCAATGGGCGACGGATCGGTCCCTCCGGGAAAACCCATGACAGTGGGAGATAAAGTTGTCGACAAAAGTGCTCAGATCCTTCAAACTTTGAAACCCATTAAACAAATTAGCCAGCATGTGTGTACCTTCTCCGTCTACAGCCATGACATGAGTCGACAGATCGAGGCTCATCATTACATCACTCGTCTGAATCAAGATTTCCTTCAGTGTGCCGTTTATGATTCCGATGACCCTTCTGCTCGTCTTATTGGTATAAAATTCATGGTTGATTTTTTATAATGTTCAATTCATGGAATGTTGGTATATTAATTATTAAAGATGTGGTATATATATTTCCTTTTGAATAATTTTAGCGTGTGATATTTGTGCAGGGGTGGAATACATTGTTTCTGATCGAATCTTTGATACTTTGCCTACTGATGAACAAAAGCTGTGGCATTCCCATGATCATGAGGTTTTCTTAATTGTTTTCTTTGTTCAATAGACAAAAAAACATAAGGAAGATGCTAAATACAATCATTTTGAGAGTTTTGTATACTTTATGTCATTGTGTTAAATATTCTTGAAATAGAAGAAGATGAATGTGTATGTGTCCAGTGATTGAATATTCACTCTCATGTCCAGGTTACATCAGGATTATGGGTAAATCCACGTGTTCCAGAGATGCTTCATAGGACCGAGCTTGAAAATATTGCACATACTTATGGAAAGTTTTGGTGTACTTGGCAAGTCGATAGAGGTAAGACTGATATCTTTCTTTTTGTTGTTATCCTCAAACATAAGTAGTATTGTATAGTCTTGGTGCACTTCCTATACGCATCCTCAATTTGTTAACTCAAATCCAAGTTCTACAAGTCCCGTATCTACTTCATTTTCTTTTCTTTCCTTTCTCTTCTTTCAAAAAATATGGAAAATTAAGTGCTTTATAAGCGTTGTAACATAACAAAGAAACGATCATATATAGGAATAGATGGTGATTCTTTTGTAGAGTGTAAACAATATTGGCGCTGACTGATGTTGTTTGGTTTACAGGTGATAGGCTTCCACTTGGTGCACCAGCACTAATGATGTCGCCACAAGTAGTAAATATGGGGGTTGTACAGCCGGAGCTAGTCCTTGTGAGGGACAACAAATACAAGATAAAAACTGATGAGCTTAGGAAATCAAGGGCTGACATTCCAGTATCCAAACCTGGGAATGCAAGAGCCTCTGATTTCTGGATGCAGAATGGAAAGGGTTACGCAATTGACATAGAACCTGCAGAGATGAAAAGGTTGGAAGGGCCAAAGTTCCCATGAATGTTCGTTTTATTTTTGTATTGGTTTAATTAGAACAAGTTGATGATGTTATGCCATGCTTTTGCTTTATATTTCTGCTCATGGGTCAGACGATTAGAGGTTAAAGCAGTGTTTCCATTTCACTTGGATAAATTTTATTAGTCCTGGACGTTTTGCATTTCCTTTTATATGGAAATTAAGGATGCTTTACATGAATCTTATGAGGGTGACCAAAAAACCGCATCGCAACTAAAATTAACCGCATAAACCGTCACCGATAAACCGCAACCACAATAAAACCGATGGTGAGGTTTTCTGTTTTCCAAAACCGCAAATTTGCGGTGCGGTCCGGTTATTAGTTTTCAAAAACCGCACCGCACCGCATATATTATATATATATATTTTTTATTAATTATTAAATATTAAAAATAAGACAGGTTTCATGGATGAAAGAAAAATAAAATTCTACAAGACAAAAGTGTTGAGTTTTTTTTGTTATGTTTAACTTTGGAAAATTGTGAAATTTCATAATTTTAAGATATTTATTGTTAATTACGGGTGATTTCACGTTTTTAAGATATTAGTTGTTTCTATATCTTTTTTTTTTATTATTATTACAAATAATATGTTTGAACTCTTAAAACATTTTGAACTCTAAACTGAGGTTAAAAACCACACAAAATAATCGCACGAAATCCATGCGGTTAATAACCGAAACACAAAGAAAACAAAACCGCACCGCAAAAATAACTGCACCAATCGGTTTTGAAAATGGATTAATCGCATTTGCGGTTAGTGGTGAAGTTTTGGCCAATAACCGCACTGCGCTCACCCCTAAATCTTATCGTCTAGTTGCCACTCTAGAGAAACGATGTTGATCGTCTAGTTGGCACTCTAGAGAAACCACTACAAGAAATAACACCTTTAGGGACAACAGCTTTAGCGACGACTACTAGCTTTAGCGGCGACACTTGACAAAGTCGTCACTAATGGTCTCTGTCGTCACTACAACTGTCGTCTCTAAAGGTCTTTCACCGACGATCCTGTTGTGCCACACGCCCTTTTAATCCTGACCGTAGGCTGCTATAGTGATCCATCTGCTAGGGTTTCATCTGGTGGGACGCAATAGCGGCGTCACCAATAGCGACAACGAGTCGCCTCTATTGATAGCGATCCGTGTGCATTTCATCGTGACCCTTGAATTGTTTTTAGATCGGACGGCTACTAGGATCCAGAGAATGGCGCGTGTTTTTCCCTCCAACTTGTCTCCGCAATTGGTTCGGGGTCGCCGCAAAAAGCGTCGCCGCTAAAGAGATCTTCCATTTGACTACCCCTACGTCCAGACGACTCAGTTTCGCTGGGTACATACCACTCCCTCACAAACTCCGGCGAGCATCGAATTCTTCTGCTACATTACGTCAATTTCTGGCGTACTTCACCACCACAAACCACCTCTCCTTCTAGACTTTCATTTCCCGTGAATTTCCAGCAGATTCCGGCAATATCCGGTCATTTCCGGCGAAATCTAAGCTCTCCGGCGAGATTAAAACTCCGGTAAGATGCGTTTTGCTCTTCCCTTTTTATATTTCTCTTGTTTTCTCACCTATATTTAACCTTAGTTTCAATTTTTTGTGATTTTAAGAAACTCCGGTGGTGCTCTCACAATTTCCGGCGGCTAGAAGATATTTCCGGCGACTTTCGCTTTTCCGGCGACTTTCCGTTTGAGAAGGTGTTGGGTACACGAAGGGGGCATGTGAGAGGCATTGGGCCTAAAGCTTCTTCAACTGCGGGTACAAGTGCTCCATCCCAATGGCAGTCACAATCACAAGCACCGCAACCAACACAGGTACTTGTGACTTAAATTGTTAACGACTTAATTCATTTGGTGCTTTGATGGTTTGATAGTTTGTTGAATTGTTAATGACTTAATGTGCTTGTGACTTAATTGTAGGATGTTGATGTGAATGTTTTTCTTCAAAACCCGACATTTGTGACGGCCATTGGAGACATTATCCGCTCCTTTAAAAACCAAGTCAACAACGAGGAAAACAATGATGGGGAAGACGAAGACGAAGACGAAGAAACATAATATTTCTTGTTTTATGTTATGGATAATGTTATTTTGGATTTATTAGATAGTTTATGGACTATATAATTAGATGTTTATGTAGGATTTATTAGATATGTAATATTGTATGTTTGATGTTTTATGTAATGTGGTATGTATTTTTTTATCTATTTTTATCAAATCTGTATTTTATGATATAAACTATAATATCATAAAAAATAAGTTTTTTCTCAAAAAAAAAATAAAAACATTAGCAGCGACACATTTAGGAATGACGTGGACTAATTGCGACGACACATAACTCCGGCAAGCTTTGCCGGAAAAACTCTGTCCGGTCATCGGAATATAAATAGAGACGACGACATTAGAGACGACATGTATTAGAGACGACGGCATTTGCGACGACAAACGACTATTAGCTACGAGTTAATTGCAACGACGCTTTAGAGACGACATGTCGTCGCTAAAAGTATTAGCGACGACAGCTGGAATCAATTGCAACGACTTTTGTCGCCGCTAAAGGCTAGGTTTTTTGTTGTGAACGATGTTGGAATTTATAGGATCAAATGTATGCTAAATATTGAAGATAAATAGAGTACTTAAAAATTAATGTTATGTGGCTCTACAAAACTAAAAAAATAAAGGAATTAAGAATGCTATAAGTTTCACTCTTCACCGAGGGAGTGTTTGGATAGGAAAAAAAAAGAGGGTGCTTATTGATTATTTCCACCACAATAAGCTAAGTTTAAGTGTTTAGATAAAATCCTTAAAAATCAGCTTATTAAGCTAAATAAGTTAATTTTAATAAGCATCTTCCCCATTGCTTATTGCTTATTGCTTATTGCTTATTCACAGCACAAATAAGCTAATAAGCTAATCCAAACACCCTAAATGAAAGAAACGATTATAACTTGATTTTTTACAAAGCTTGGAAACTATTTCTATTTATATCCGAACATTCAACTTGAATCAAGTTCCTATTTGTACCCTAAATTGGTATTATTAAAATTCTAATACTTACAGCCAAAAATCTTATGAAAATGACATCTATGTGAAATAGAGAAAGTCGTTTTGTCTCCAACTGAGGTCTTTTCACCCGATATATATATATATATATATATATATATATATATATATATATATATATATATATATATATATATATATATATAGCGGCATTTCTATTGAAGTGGTGTCGGATTCTTACTTTGAAGTCATGACACACCTTGGCGGAGTCATTGCGAACTTTTTAGAATATTGGAAAAACCTAATTCTACACTAAAAACATGCTACCAAGCCTACAAATCTTGATTCTGAACTCACTTTACATTTTAACATAAAAACGCCAAAAAAGAAAATCAAACCTAATATATTTGTTGAAAAATCCTTTTGGGATTGTAATTCATTTTTTGAAGTATAATTGGGATGGTTCTTTTAATTTCAAATTATGAAAATTTTAAACTTGGTGGAAAAGAGGAAAGGAGAGAAAGGGGTTTCAAGGGACAAACACGGGAGAGACTATACGACGAGAAAGGGAAGGGATCAACGGTGGTCGAGCGGTAGTGGAATGAGAAGAGGAGGAAAATGAGAACATTATAATGAGAGGAAAACAGTGAAAAGAAGGAGAAGATGATGGTAATAATGAGTCAACGGTAGTTGGTACGATAGAGGTGGTTAATGGTTATGACAAATGTGATAGTTGGTGACAGAATCCGATAGAGTGGTTCTCGGTGATAGATTAGCCATATGATGGAGGCGGCGGAAATGGTGGCTTGTGATGGAAGTGGTTGAGTAGTGGTGGGAGGTGGAGGAGAGTGGTCGGTAATGGATGCGACGGTTTCCCTATTCTAAGAGGGTCAAGGGGAGCAATGTCACATTTCTAAGGTTTTATGGTGGGTGTATGAGTAATCTAGAAATTTGGTATTTGTATCTTATCGTTGTTTTTAATATTATTTAAGAACAAAATGTTCATATATGAAAAATCTAATAGTCGAATATTAAGATTTTAGATGACTATAGAAGAACAAACAATGTAAGAAACTAAAGACTTTTTGTGTAGATTTTTTGAAAATTAGAATCAAAGTATATTTTTTATAATACCATATGTACCACTTCTATAATTTACTATAATCGATATGAATTAAAGGAGGTTCAAAAATTCTGTCTGTTTCTTTCTAATATTATTGAACTTTTCTTATGATATTTTTTTGATGAACTTTAAAAATGGGCCTTTTCACATACAATATTTTAATATATTGTAATTAGTAAACACATGATTTTACCTATGACATTAACTAACCCATATTTGAAAATTAGAAAACAGCAATAGGTCTTTAAATGTAGAGATATTTTAATCTCAATTGAGATCATATCCCTTATTTTCTCTCTGTCGGACGACGTGGGCTCAAAACCTTTTTTTTTTTTTTTTCATCTTTGTGTTAATGGATTATCATGTAATTGTATTATTATATATATATGTTTCATATCGTTGGCCTAAATATAGTCCGGCCTTTACCCTTTTGGGCTTTGTACGCATGTAAATGAGTATGTATACTCTTATATTAAGGTTGTTGCTAGTTCAAAAATCTAGTTAAAATATAACTTGAAAATCTAGTCAACAAATTATAGTAAGTTGGGGAAAGTGTCTTCATAGTTAAAAAAAAAATAATAATAATAAATAATAAAAAAAAAAAAAAAATCTGTTCCCCATTTTTTTTCTTTTTTCTTTAATTTCCAAACCTTTTTACTTACAAAATATAATATTATATATCATTTCTTGCGTCTAGACTTTTGATTTTACAGATCTATGCTCAAAATAAATATTTATATGTTATCGTATTAAAAAGTTTATTTTATTAATACAAAGGGAATTATATTAAAAAGTTTATTTATTAAGATAAAGGGAATTATGTGTTATATTCTTAAAAGTTTATTTAATTAAATATAAAAAAAATATATATTTTTTTATATTTTTTTAACTAGCTTATCAATTTTAGTTTGATTTTTTTATGGTAACAGTTAGCTTTTAAACTAAGGCCCTGTTTGATTTGGATCTGGGTAACAGTTAGTTTTTAACTAGCTTTATCAATTGTTAGTATTATTATTATTATTATTATTAGAGCATTAGGTAAAATGGTCATTTTAATCGGCCAGCATATACAATCAAACAGTATGGTTTCTTATTCGGTCAGAATTTATTACTCAGACAGACATTTTCCAAGCTTTATCAATTGTTAGTATTATTATTATTATTATTATTAGAGCAGTAGGACCTTTTCCAAGCTTTATCAATTGTTAGTATTATTATTATTATTATTAGAGCTAGGTAAAATGATCATTTTACATCAGCCAGCATATACAATCAAACAGTATGATTTCTTATTCGGTCAGAATTTATTACTTAGCATATACAATCAAACAGTATGATTTCTTATTGGTCAGAATTTATTACTTAGACAGACCTTTTCCAGTAAGCAGACCTTTTCCGGTAAGCATTTTACTATCAATATCAAACGGGACGTACTCTACTTGTTTCGAGACTTTTAATCCTCAAACTAAACCCTCAACTTATGCTAAATGACACATTTCCGCCAAACCCCGATGAAAACAAATTTATTCAATGCATTTTACAAACAAATCCCATAAAACCGAATTTGTCGAGCATCTCAATATTGTCAAACGAAAAAAAAAAAATACCGAACATAGAAACTCTTGGAACGATCAAATATGTGTTCTATATACGTACCATCGACTACCTACAAGTTTTTAACACACAAAGTGTTAATTTATTCGAATTTATTGCGTCTGAAATTCCTTTCACTGTATAAGGAGTTAAGGACAACCCCACATACAGCAACTCATTCCAGAAATTCATATATACACATCATATATGCCAAAATACTACAACTTAAAACTTATGGAAACGTTGTCAACTTCTTCATCTCTGCACTTTCGACATCGATACCAAAACACTTCTTATGCTCTCTCCAGTAATCTGCCATGGGATTCAACTTACCGGGCCCCATGATATCAGTTCTCGAACCCCGAATAGCAGCAGTAGATATGTTATACTTATCATCTCTCTTTTCCACCAACTCCGGCTTAACCATGGTAATCTCCTCCTCCTCCTGTGGTGACATCATTAGCGACGGTGGCCCAATCGGCAGCTTATCACCTTCAAATCAACCATCCAAACTTCAATACAACAAAAATTAATCACCTGAAATTTTTAAGAAAGTTTATTGATTATTAACTTCACCTCTATCGGTTTGCCACGTGCACCAAAACTTCCCATAAGTTTTGGCCATGTTTTCGAGCTCCGGTTTGGCAACCATTTCTGGGATTCGTGGGTGCACTAGAAGCCCTGATTGTATCTTCATATTTCATATAATAAGAAAAAAAAAAACAATCTTTATTTTGTTAGAATAGATCGACATGATCATGATCATTACATATTGATCACATACCTCATAAGCATGAGAGTGCCATAGTTTCTGTTCATTGGGTGACAAAGTATCAAAAATACGATCAGAGACTATATATTCCACCCCTATGAGTCTGCCGGAGGAGTCGTCGGAGTCATAAACGACGCACTGGAGGAAATCCTGGTTGATTCGTGTGATGTAATGGTGAGTCTCGATCTGTCGAGACATGTCTTGGCTGTATAAAGCAAAAGTGCATGCATGTTGACTCATCTGCTTTATGGGTTTCAACGACTGCAGCATCTTAGCTCCTTTGTCCAACATATGTGTCCCTATTGACATTGGCTTTCCCGGCGGGATGCCATTTTTCTCGACGCCGGCACCGTTTGTTGGTTGAGTGTAAGCCATGGGGGATCGAGGAAGAGGGTAACGTAACTTTGTTACGTTTTGTTGAAGGTGTATGACAGTATGAGGTTGAGATAACGATGATGATGGTGGATTTAATAAGGAGTATGAGGTGGAGGGGGTGTGAGGTGAGGTGGCGAGTGAGATTGGAAGGTGGAGGGTGAGTGCCAGGTGGTGGTGGTCTTGGGACACTTGTAGATTGTAATGGTGTGCATGTGGTGTTTTCCTAGACGTTTGAATTTGGATAATCATCTGGCTGGTCCAAGTCAAAGTTGCTATTTATAGTAATTGTCTAATTGATACCTTTTATTTGATTTTTTCTTCTATGGTAAATTAATTCAAACCAGAAGAAGCCCCATACTCCGCATGGGATGAATAGGGTTTCCGCATGGGATGAATAGTGTTTTGACGTTAATTGACTTTTGAATTGACAAAATGGATAAAATAGCAAGAAATGTGATCAAAGTTAAGGAGTTTGAAAATTGATGGCAAAGTAAAAAAAAACAAAGGGGGCAATTTTGGAAAAAGCTACAAAAGTGTGGCAAAACCCAAAAAGTCAAAAACTAATAACTTTAAACAATTTGAGCAAAAGTATGAAAGCTATCAAAATTTGTGGACAAAATAAGAAAGTTAAAACTTTCTTTGGCACGGGAATATATATATATATATATATATATATATATATATATATATATATATATATATATATATATATATATATTAGTAGCAAGATATGTAGAAATTATAAAGTATTGGTAGTTTATATATATATATATATATATATATATATTAATTAGTAGCAAGATATGTAGAAATTATAAAGTATTGGTAGTTATATCTGGATTTTTAATCTATCTACCAAACATAAACACATTAAGGTTATAAAAAACACATCGTCATTTTATAGTTATTTATTTACTAATTTTAAAATTAGCCAAATTAAAATTAGAAGGTAAAATAAAAAAGAAATGAAATTGAATTATCAGTTGAATTACATTTTCGTTTTGTTCATATTTGGTTAACTTTTTTTTGTATATATCTACGTAAAGAACTTGTTGGAAATATTTACATATGACTGGCTGTAACTTGCTACAATCGGTCATAATAGTCATATTGGAACACTTTCAACAAGTTTGTTACCTAGATGTATAAAAAAAAATTACCCAAATATGAACAAAACAAAAAAGTAATTACCCTGATAAGTCATATATCCTTATATAAATGGTCCATGGTACAGGATATAAACACACTAAATTTACATAAATGATCCGTGTAACACTAAATTAAAGTAAACTAATAGAAACAAAAGCCACAAAAACAAATATAAATACATATGTATACATATAAGCACACAAATATTGAGAAAATTACATTAAAAGATGATCGATTCTCTATTATAGCATTGTATTTTGAAAGTACATTGTTATAATTGAGATCCTTGTTTAACAAAAACTTCCAAAAAGAATTTGATGCTTGTTTTGCTTACTATTCAAACCAGCACAAGAAAATCAGATGATGAATTCCCAGTTGTAACATTATACTTAGAGAGTTCATTGCTATAATTAGGAAAATGTTCATTTATTTTTATCGAAAAAGCTAGAAAAAACACAAATAAACACACTCATACATAGAAAATCAGACACATATTTATAAATTACATTGACAGGTGATGGATACCCAGTTATAATATTATACTTTGAAAGAAAATGGCAATAATTATGAATAATCACGCTAAATTTACATAAATGATCTCTATAACAGTAAATAAAAATAAAATAATAGTTGTAATGTAAGTTTGTACACACAAAGAACAACAGAAATGGAAGTTGATTGCTATTATATTTGCCTTATTTATTTTTTTTCCTGTTTACATAAAAGAACAATATAAGCACTCATTTTCTTTTACATATTTCCCTTATTTTATTTATTCCCTAAAAAAACATAAAGATTACAAATGAGGCTTCCCCCATTGAGTTCTAAGAGGGTGTTTGGGATTACTTTTTAAATGACTTTTGTCTTTTAACTTTTTCAAAAAAAGTCAAAAAAATGTTTGGAAGATACAAAAGTTTTTTTCAAAATAATTTTTGTAAAGAAGAAAAATATGGGTTTTCAAAAGTCAGGAAAGTATGACTTTTTGTGACTTTTAGACGTTTGAAGCTAAATTACACTCAAAAGTCAATAAATACAACCCAAACACTTTTTAAAAACAATTTTTGGCTTTTGTATCGTTAAAAGCTAAACTCAAATAAAAGAACTTTTAAACTCAAAAAGTAATCCCAAACACCCCTAACATTTTACATATTTGCTGTAACTAATTTTTTACTATAATTTTCTTGATTTCTCAATGTCACTTCTGTATTGCAATTTGAAATGATTTTATTATCAGGTACTTAAAATGAATGTGGGCTAATACTTTTAGACCAAAGTCTACATCCCCAAAACTTATAGAAGTCTTAATTCTTAAACACTTTTATCAACTCCTTAATCAATTATTTCCGAATTCAAACCCTAAAACTGAATCAATTATAAGAAATGCATAAAAATGGCATCTTCTTCCCGATTCCCAATCACAGACTTTCGCATGAATGTTCGTCTCTCCGAGATTTCGCCTTATTCTGATTAGGTTTCTCTCTCTGCTCGGAATCCTAGGTTTGACTCTCTTCTTCATTTCGATTTCCATGGATGTACAAGTCGGTGAAGCAGCACAGCAGCCCAAGAAGGATGTTTATTCGGTATGGGCGCTTCCGCCGGAAGATGTAACAGAGAGGCTGAAGAAACTGATGGTCGGTCTGCGATCGGAGTTCGGAGGACCTGAGTTTGAGCCGCATGTGACTGTTGTCGGAGCTATCAGCTTGACGGAGGAGGAGGCGCGTGACAAACTCAAGAAGGCTTGTGAGGGTTTGAAAGCTTATAACGCCACCGTTGAGAAGGTTGCGACGGGAACTTTCTTCTATCAGTGTGTGTTTTTGTTGCTTCATCCCACGACTGAGGTAATTTCGAATTGGATTCATATACGACTTTTTAGGTTCAAATGAATTGTTTCAGATTTGAAATTTTCATGGATATGATCATGTAATCCAATAAGTGAAGCCATCATAACAGTTGCTCTGCTCAAAAGATCACAGATCAAATCTGAAATCTGAAAGTCTTCACCTTCAATTCTCAGAAATCAAACAATATAGTGAATCCACCATAACAATGGTTTCAGTTTCATATCCATTTCCCAGAACATATTCATGTTATGAGATTCATTATTTCAGGTCATGGAGACTGGTGCACACTGCTGGAATCATTTTGGCTACAAGAGTTCAACTCGTGAGTCCTCTTCCATCTTTAAGTTAATTAGTTTTTTGATTCTGACACTTTCCTCTTTTGCTGATGAACAATTATTCTTGTTACATTTTCAGCTTATATGCCACATTTGAGCATCCTTTATGCAGATTTAACCGAAGAAGAAAAGAAAAGAGCTCAAGAGAAAGCCAATGTTCTTGATGAAAGTGTTAAAAGCTTGAAGTTCCCAATATCTCGTCTTGCTTTATACAAAACAGATACAGAAGACAAAACCCTAAAATCATGGGAGAAGGTGACTGAAATCACTCTCCAATGAACCTTTTAACTGTTTGCTCTTTAATAATCATTTCAAATCACAATTCCACAAAGTTTGTAACTTGTATATTTGTACCATTACTCTGAATAATTTCCACTTTCTTGTTCCTTATATTGTCATTTTTTCTAAACATTGTACTTCAAAAAATCTACCCATTTATAACAATGTCATCCAAATGAGTAGAATTTTAAAAATATAGTGTCTTTCATTAAAAAAAAAAAGGTACAATGCTATAAGTTTTTTTTTCAAAGTATAATGCCTTAACAAGAAAGAGTTGAAAGCACAATGAAAATAAGAATCTAAAAAAAAGACGAAAGTACGATTTTTATTTATTGCATTTAGTGCTTATTGTTACAAAAGATATCACTTTAACGACAATTTAAAGTTAACAAAATGCATAACTTATTCAAAGTCAAAACTATCGCTAATACAAAAGTATATATATATATATATATATATATATATATATATATATATATATATATATATGCCATGTATATGTTACAATACTTGACATCATTATTAGCCGATTTAAACCATATTTAAAACAGCAAAAAGAACATAAAAACATATTCGAGTAAATAGATGAGGTACACCTGTATTAAATATTGCAACCTACATCCAAATAGCATTAGCATCAATGAGTAGTGGTTTAAGCTTGCTTTCCAAATTGAGACTATAAATCTCATTAGCACCTCCAACAAGCTTCTTCCCTATGAACACAGCTGGCACACTAGGGCTGCAACCTAACTCCATTAACTCTTCTTCTATTCCATCTCCATTAGCAAGCTCATCAAGCTCATAAATAATAGGATTTGCCCCAAATTTTCTTATGAGTGATATGATCGAGTGGCTTATACAACATGTTGTTTTGCTAAAAATCACAGCTGGATTTTCAGATAACAGAGCCCTCACTGTGGTCATTTTTATAAAGATGTTTTTGGGATTTGGGTTTGTTAAAATTTGAGACATCTTGAGGTTTATTTATAGGGTATTTTTTTGTAATGATGGAATATGTTCTTTGGAGTGAAATTAATTTTGCAACCTTGTCTCATGTAACATCCAATCAAAAGTTTGAATATTTGAATAGTGTTGTGCATATTGTGAGTATACTATGGGTTTGACTTTAGAAAACCAGAAGATATTGATAGAGTATATGGAAATGAGCATATCGTACAAGTGTATATTGCATAGAGATATGTGGTTGCTTTATAATTTTGTGATGAGGATATGATTCTTAAGATGATATGGTTAAAGAATGACTTCTAGGTAGATGATGTTGGTGTTCTTAGCTTATGGATATCAACAATATCATGATTTTTCACATATATCCATAATCACTCTCCCTTAAGATACTTTGGCCCCTTTTTTATTTAGGATGTTAGATAAAATTATTATTTTGGATTGGGATTAAGATTGAGACTCATGTCGATAGAGTTCGTAGCTTTTTTTTTGTCAATGAGACAAAATTTGTAACTTGTTGTCCTCTTCAAAAACATGGAACGACAATTTTGTTTATGCAAAACACATGAATATCCTTCTTATCCTTATAAAAAATAGCCCTAGTTATAATGTTTTGTCTAGTCTAGTTGTGGAGACATTCTGCTTTACCTTCATTGTGTTGGCAATTGGACCGGTTAAATGGGGTAGGGTGGGTTATACCTTTTTTGGCTTAATCTGATCTGTTTGTGATCAGTGATGGTTTGTTTTGTGATGCTTTTACTTGTCCATAAATACTTTAGCCATATCTTCAATAGCCCTGGAAATATGATACATGACTGACATGATTCGAGTTTTCCGTATATAAAATTTAGAAATTCACGTTTCGTGTCTATTTGTACAAAATTGATACAGAAGACAAAACCCTAAAACTGATACACGTGTCAAACACGAATTTACCTATTTAAAAACGTATAAGACACGAATTTAATTTGGGTGACATGCGACACGTATAAAAATGTATATACATGTGACACGCGACACGTATAAACACATTTAAACATGTGTGTAAACACAAATTAAATGCATGTTTTCCTAGCTTAAAAAATACTATTAGACAATGTGTGTATAAATTCGTGTAAATCTATATTTTTATGTACACGATTAAAAATGTGTTTATTCAGATCTTGATACTTGTGACACGGATTAATTACGCGCCGTATTCATATTTAATATCCAAAACACATTTTATAATTTTTATCATTTAATTTGTGTCTAACACGATATAGAAACATGGATTGTGAGATCTAATCTTCTATATGCCCGCATCAATAGTGGGATCCCGTGTAAAGATTTGTTGTATTTTTGTATGGATGTAAGTTTGGAATGGAGGGTGTTTGCAAGTGTGTCCCACTAGAACAAAACCAAAATGGTTTGGTTATACACTTTTTTATTAAATAATTAAAGTCTTCTATTTTAAGGATTTCTTGGTCGTCAGTTGGGTGGGGAACCTTTCTGTGACATTTTTAATCTACTTTGATGTTTTATATCAAAAATAGAATAAAAATATAATGTAAATAGTATTTTGTCTTTAATTTATTTTTTATATTATTGTTATTTTAAAAATTTTACTCTTAGTATATTTATTTTTTTTTAACTTCCATAGATTGTTAAAAATATACTTTCAATTAATAAGCTTTTAAAAAATTAAGATGATATTTCCATTTATGTTTTTCTTTATCAATTAAAAAAAATGTTTTAACTTTTATGTCTACTATCATGCTATCATAATTCTTTTTCTTCAATTAAAATGAACGATATAAAAATTAAATTTTTTAAGTGGATGAATCAAATACACAAATAGAAATATCACATTTCATTATTAAAATATGTATTCTATTTTTTATTACAACAAATTTGTAAGTTATATCATCACAAAGTTATAATAAAATAAATTATTCTTATATAGATTATTTGAATTAATTATGATTTTATTAAAGCACAACTTATTAAATAAAAAGTTACATTAATAACATACTTTTAATTAAATATTACATATGTGTTTATATAAATATTATACATATATTTGAAAAAATAATACATATTTATGTATTAGAATAATTTTTTCATAAATAATCAACTAACACATTTCGTTCATTGGAATAACTGATTTATCTTTAATACATATATATCGAGGAAAAATATTATTAATATTATTAGAATTCACTATATTAATGTATCGGCATATCGGCCTCTAATGGTGACACATCTCTCACAACTTAATAAACATAAAATGCGAAAATTATTTAATATCATTTAATGTAAAATATTATATGTACATATTAATTACTACATTTAAATTATATTTATGTTTATTATAACTAATAAACAAAAAATAACCGTAAAATATATAAACAACAAAATACGAGTGACGTAAAACTTTTATTCAATTTTGATGCAAATAAATATTTGAAATAATATTATTTATTTATATCAAAATAGACCATAAAGGAATAGAATACTAATAGCAAATAAAGTTAAATATTTGTTTTGGAGGTGATAGAGATGCTCTTTAACGCCCTCAATCCCTTATCCATATGCCTTATTTCCATTAATAGAATATAAAGTAGATTTGTAATCTTTATACTTATCTTGTGTTTTATATGCCTTTTTATGTGGATTCCAAAAGATTTTTTTTTTTAACAGCTCAAAAGATTTCACTAAAAAAAAAAGAAAAAAAAAAGAAACGCCAACTCTATCGAGAGGCTAGAGCATACAAACTGCAAAAAGGAAAAATTACATCCACTTTTCATGGATTCCAAAAGAATATAAACCTGGAAATTTGTAATATATTAAAAAAAAATTAGTGTGGATAATATTTGAATCTTAGCAATAACTAAAAGGGTCGAAATTTGCATTTAGTTCGGAAGGAGTGGTGGTGAGATTAGCATGTTGTCATATCAATTTTTTTGGTATCACCTAAACATGATGTCATTGTGGTGGAACCAGAAAAAAAATATCACCGGAGTTCATCTTACATAAAAAATTAAACAAAAATTTAAAAGTACAAAAAAATCTGAAATTTTGAGGTTTTTTGGGAGTTTTTTCTATTAAAAATATTACAAAATAGGTTTTTTCAGCAAAAATGGATGCAAAAAAGGATAATTTCGGCAAAAGATGAATTTTTAAGGGTTGTTTTAGTAAAATGGGGATTAATATCAACTTTCAAGTGGGGTCCATGGACCCCCTTATTATTACACTGTGGCTCCGCCACTAGATGTCATATAGTATGTCGGCCTTGAAAATGTTGGGGAGTGACAGCGAGCTTAGCATGTTAAATGCATTTTTTTTCAAAGTTAAACAAATTATATTTTTATAAAACACAAACATTTCATATTAAATTAAAAAGTTACAATAAAACTAAAACTTAAAATACGATTTAATAAATTAAAACACTGACTTAATACCTAGAAACATGACAAAATACATAAAAAACAACGCAACATAACTAAAGCAATGAGTCTTCATCCGAAAATTGGTATTCTAATTCATCTTCGGGTGACATATTAGAATCAAGGTTATCAAGCATCCAAAGATGATCGGTTAAATGGTGGCGAAGATCAAAATGGATTACTGCATTGTTTACTATCCTCATTCTCTGTATCCACTCTTGACCACCATATTCTAGTGGTTGTGTCTCGGGGATGACTTGATTCTCGTCGTAGGCACATATCGTGTTTCCTTCATGATCCAGTACCATATTATGTAATATGATACACGTATACAACACCTCGGTCATAGTTTCTACTTCATGAAATATTGATGCGTTGGCAAGTATTTGCCAACACTTTTTAAGTGTTTCAAACGCTCGTTGGATATCTTTCCTCGCTTTTTCTTGGACTCTCTTAAATCTTGATCTTTGAGGGTCATCCGGAAACAACAAAGTTTTAACGAAAACCAAAAGGTCAAGATAGATACTATCAACAAGATAGTATCGAACCTGTATTTTGTTCCTCTGAGTACACATGACGAATCAGGGGCAGTATTGTCATATATTTTTTTTGAATATTGATGAATTATTGATAATTTTAACATCATTAATCGAATTGGGACTATTGAAGTAGGCATGCCAGAACCACAAATAATGTGAGGGTACAACTTCAAGTACGACCGTCGGATAATGATAATTGCCTTTTGTGAATTGCCAATGATATGAATTTAGACACATGTTCCATCTCCAATGCATGTTATCTAAACTTTCTAACCTCCCGAGGAAGCCATGCATGTTCGCATGATGAGCATATAATTGTTGAGCATATAACTATTGTATGTCACTAGAAGTAGGATGACACAAATAGCATGAATCGTACAAAGACATGATACATCTACAATATTAATGAAGACTTTATCATATGCAGACATCCTAAAACTCTCGTCTAGTGCATCTGGGTGAGTGTCATATGTTAATATACAAAATACAACTATTATCTTCCATTCCACCAAGTTTGGAATTCTCTTCCACTATGGAATCTTCAATTCCATCCAGAGTGTTATCTAGAGTGTTATCTTCTTATTTCACCATACAATTTATGTATTACTCAATAAATACATCTTAACATATCAAATATACATCCACGCATCATTAGCAAGTCTTTAGAATTCAAAACTTAGGCATAGATATGGGAATACAATTCCATCTTCAAAAAACATGAAATTTAAATCACAATAATCAAAATACTTCCATATCAACACATAATCATTCTATGAAACTTTCAAAATAAGTTAAATAAACATCCCACCAACTTTCACAGATTAGAATTCATACCTAATGATGGGATGTCGAATCCATCAAATAATAAGTCCTATTTGCACATATGATTTAAAAATGATAATAACAGTGGCAAACAAGGTCAACTTAGAGGCAATTTTTACCGAAGGTTTTTGCTAGGATTCACTTGGATTTCATTTGGAAGCATTTTGGTTTT